GTGTCTGTTTTCTCCTTCTGTTTGATCTCTGCATGCACAGCAAGCACTGAATTTGGCCTGATCCCATCTTTAGCATTCTTCTATGAAACTAGATCAGATTTATTAGAAAAGAGGTACATGTTCCATTGGACTGGAAGGAAGGAAGGAAGGTGTTTGCAACTGAAAAAAGAAAATGAAATGTGACACAGGTTGATGGTTGGGTGCAGGCTAAGACTGGCCTGCCTTTGTCGAAACCCCTTTAAGGAAGGGGGAAGGAGGCGTGTCTTGTGTTGTGAGTCCATGGATGACATGGACCTTAAGTCTGACCCAGCAAATTCCTTTGTTCTTAAGAGCAAAGGACCATAGCTCAGTTGCACAGCTCATTAGTAAAGCACATGATTTGCATGCAAATGATCCCAGCTTCAATTCCTGGCAGCATCTCCAGGTAAAGGGGGATCTAAGACTCCCCCCTCCCCCTCCCCCTCCCCTAGTGCAGGGGTAGAGAACATTTTTCAGCCTGAGGTCTACAGTCTCTTCTGGAGCCGCATGCCAGTGTGCTAAATCTTGAGGTGGAGGGGGGGGGCTGGATATCATTGTAATGGAGAAGGAGGAAGCTAGCATGGCGGCCTATGTCTGCTAACCAATAGCATGAAAAATAGGCTTTCTCTGAAACATGCAGCAGTATCTGCAATCTAGAAGATGGACAAAAATAACATTTCTTCACAAACTAAAAGTTTCATTTCTTTTTTGAAACATGCAGCCTAAAGCTCTCAAGCTACTAGGGATGGAGGTAAGTCTTTTTTGTTTTTTTGTCACACAAGTTTCTTCTCTAATTAGGGGCAGGGGGAGTAAATTTATCACATGGCATGTTTGGGCAAGACCCAAACCAATGGATTCAAATGACAAGAAAGGAGATACTGACTAAACATCAGAAAGAACTTTCGGATGGTAAGAGCTGCTTGAGAGTTTTAAAGCAGAGGTTAGGCGGCCCCCTGCCAGGGGTTCTTGAACTGTTATTCCTGCATTGCAGGAGGTTGGCTAGATGACCCTTGGCATCCCTTTCAACTCTCAAGTTCTTTGATTCTAAAAAACCACTACCTTCTTTTGGGATCATCTCATTTTGCTTCCAAGTTTATTGGCACGCAGCAACTTGTGTCCAAGCTGTATGCTTTTAGGTGCAGTAGAGAAAATCCATATAGACTGCTGGAATCACATATAGATGGATTACCTCATTTGGTCTGATTCTTCCAGGACAGAGCAATGGATGCATACCTGCAGTGAGTGCTCTGGTAGCAGCTGTTCCACATGTGCGCTGCACCTATTGCATTTGGAAGGGAGCAGCTGTTTGCGTGCGTCCCCCCAACTTCATCCCGTTATGATCCTCTTAAATAACACATAGGTTTTCTGGAAACCTCAGACCAACCCAGCTTCTGGGGGCTCCTTGAGCTATTAGGATAAAGGGGAGAGTGTCCCTGTGCAAAGTGTATAAGCCTTTATTCTAAATGGGCAGAAGAACTTATTGTTATATCACAGATATAAAATATATAAATACAAAGCAAAGCCAGGCGCCCTGAAAGCTGGTAAGCAGCTTTGCCGTGTTCAAAGGAGGCATCAACAAGGCTTAATCTTCTTTGACATCTCTTTGTCTTTTCTGATGAGTGCATGACAAAGCATTCATCCCTCCTGAGACAGGAGATGGCTGGGCCTAAAAAGCTTAAAATGGGCAACAGTGGCCCAAATCTAGAGATATTCCACGTGCAGCTGGCCAGGCACCACTGCAGGCACATCTGCTGTGCCTTGCTCCCAGGAGGTGGCAGCATGTTCACATGTGAGTCTTAGCATGCCACTGCCTGTTCTGAGAGGGGTGGGAGACTGAGTCCACACAGGAAGAGACAATGGGACTAAATTCTGGCTGCTTTAAATAGTCATGGTCCCCCAAAGAATTCCAGGAGTTGCAGTTTTTTAAGGTTGCACTCCCTTCGAAGGAGCAGGGTCACAGTTTGGGGGTGCCTCTGGATTCAGCTTTGTCCCTGGCGTGCCTTTCACCAACTGCAACTGGTTTGACAGCTACAGCCATTCCTGGACCAGCCACAGCAGTTCATGTGTTGGTTACTTCAAGACCAGATTATTACAATGTGCTCTATATGGGGCGCCCCTCACACTTGATCTGGAAGCTGCAGTTAGTGCAGAATGCTGCAGCGCAATTGCTGACAGGAGTGAGGCCTTGTCAATAAAGAACACCTGTGCTCAGAGATCTTCACTGGTTGCTGATTAGCTACCAGGCCAAGTTCAAGGTGTTAATATATGAAGCCCTGAACAACTTGGGACCAGTTTACCTACAGATCGCCTTACCCCACATGTGCCAAATCGACCTATCAGCAGAACTGGCACTACTACAGGGGCCACATAATACCCCTTCTGTATTGGGAAAAACTTGATCATTTAGTGTGGCAATGCCTATACTTTGGAACTCCCTGACTCTTGAGATCAAGCAGATGCCTTCACTGTACAGTCATACCTTGGTTTTCTAACAGCTTAGTTCTCGAATGTTTTAGCTCCCAAATGCCGCAAACCTGGAAGTGAGTATTCTGGTTTGCAAACTATTTTTGGAAGCCGAACGTCCAATGGGCCTTCCACGGCTTCCGATTGGCTGCAGGAGCTTTGGTTTCCCAACGTTTTGGAAGTCGAACGGACTTCCGGAATGGATTCCGTTTGACTTCCAAGGTATGAATGTACTCTTTTCGCCCCCTGATAAAAACATTATTGATTAGGAAGTTGAGGTAATTTTGTATGTTTTAAAGTATGTGATTTTTTCTTGATTTTACTGTTTTACCTTTTGTAAGTCGTTTTGAGGTTGTTGCTTTTGTTACAATCAAAGCAGTGTATGTTGTTGTTGTTGTTTAGTCGTTTAGTTGTGTCCGACTCTTCGTGACCCCATGGACCAGAGCACGCCAGGCACTTCTGTCTTCCACTGCCTCCCGCAGTTTGGTCAGACTCATGTTTGTAGCTTTGAAGACACTATCCAACCATCTCGTCCTCTGTCGTCCCCTTCTCCTTGTGCCCTCCATCTTTCCCAACATCAGGGTCTTTTCCAGGGAGTCTTCTCTTCTCATGAGGTGGCCAAAGTATTGGAGCCTCAGCTTCACAATGTGATTTTTTCTTGATTTTACTGTTTTACCTTTTGTAAGTCGTTTTGAGGTTGTTGCTTTTGTTACAATCAAAGCAGTGTATAAATTTTATTAAATTAAATAAATAAGGGTTTCTAGGCTACCCCTGTTCCCCTCAAAGAACTACAACTTACAAAGTGATTTAACAACAAATCCCTCTTCCCAGGGAACTCTGAACTGTAACTGTGAGGGGAATAGGGGTGTCCTAACAACTCTCAGCACCCTGATAGGTACCGTAATTCTGGGACTTCCACTTGTTCTCCTCGTTACCCACTGAAGAACAATAACTGTGGAAAGCCTCCCTGTTCTAGGCTGTCAAGAAATGGTTAGTATTTGGTATTTCCCTCTAATTATGCTTCCCTGCCCCACCCTTAGCTGTGGCTCCACTGCCCAGACTGTCTTTCTGTTACCTCCTTCCTCGTTGCCTCCAGTTCCAGTCGTAATGCTCCATCCTCCTTCCCCATTTAGGAGATGGGATAGTTCTCCCTTTGCTGGGTCCTCCGGCGTAAGATCTCATGTTCAAAGGTGAACTTTCCATTCAGCCTTCTTCAAGACGCTCTTTGTCGCCGCCTGCTTTGCATGTGACTTGGCTTGCCCATGTGCTCATTCTAGCCTTTCTCTGCACCAAGAGTGCCTGCATGACTCAATCACACTTGAAACAGGGATACAGCAGGATCAGCCATGCCTAGCAAGGGCTGGTTGAAAGGGCCCCAAGCCAGATCAGCGATTCATCCAGAGACAGAATAGGTAACCCCCTTTAAAGGCAAATAGTTGTGTTGCACCTCTGCACCAAAAGGCCGAGCCATGCGTGATGCTGAGATGCTATAGTATGACCTGTGTCCAGCAGAGGCTGGAAGGGAGCAGATAATCGTGCAGAGATGCAGGGGGTCAGCCTCCTTTACAGAGGGCACTTTGAGCTCACAAAAGCCTGTAGATCAGGGGTGCACAACCTGCAGCCCTCCAGATGTTGTGGGACTACACCTCCCATCATCCCTGATCACTGGCTATGCTGGCTGGGGCTGCTGGGATTGTAGTTCAGAAACATCTGGAGGGCCACAGGTTGTGCACCCCTGCTGTAAATAATTATGGATTAATTTCTCAGAGATCTCCAGCAGTTCTCTCATGGCACTACAGTGTACCTCAGCCACAGTTTGGGAACTGCTGGGTCATTTATTTAGAAACCTGATATTTAGAAGGTTTAGGTCCTTTTCCAGTGATTTCATTTGAACTCCAACATCATGCCAAATGATTTGAAGGTAGGATGACTGATGCATCGGTCTGAAGGACCTGCATCTGTCTATGTGCCGTCTGCCCAGGTAACATCATAAGCTGTGATACCCACAGAAAAGCACATGTTGTGAATTTGCAGTGACGCTTTGCATGGAAGCATTGTCATCGCCATAAGAAGCCACTCTTCTACTAACAATTCAGGCACAATGATTCTGCATGCTTGTATTTCCGGCTTAACCTTCAACTTAACAGCAGTGCATGGCCTTTTCCTTAAGCATCTATCTTTATTCATGGGCACAACCTGTAATAATCTGCAGGAACCAGTAAAATGTAGCCTAAATGTGAAATTACGGTAACTCAATTGCTCCTTCCTAGGATGATGAACCTCCAACCAAAGGAAAAAGAAGAAAAAGAAGAAGAAGGAAGAGGAGATAGACATTGATGTGGATGACCCAGAAGTCAGCCGCTTCCAGTACCCCTTCCATGAGCTCATGGTCTGGGCAGTGCTGATGAAGCGGCAGAAGATGGCTCTCTTCCTTTGGCAACGTGGAGAGGAGACCATGGCCAAGGCACTGGTGGCCTGCAAACTCTACAAAGCCATGGCCCACGAGTCTTCAGAGAGCGAGCTGGTGGATGACATCTCTCAAGACCTGGACAACAACTCAAAGTTAGTCACTCAGAGTGTGGGGCTGGACTGTGTGGTGTAGCGGTTAGGTTGTCAGACCTGGGAGACCAGGACTGAAAACCCCACTCAGCTATGAAGCTCATTTGGATGACGTTGAGCCTGTCCCTGGCTCTCAGTCTAAGCTGAGACCTTCTGAGCTAAGGCCCTTCTCCAGTTCCTGTTCTGCTTTTTTATATTTATATATTCTTAGTATATAGTTTATATTTATATTTTCTTAGTATTAAACATGAACCTGCCCCAATGTTACAATGATCTACTGATTGAGTCCTTCAGCTCTCTCAAGTTGAATCAGACAGAAGGGTCTTCTCTGTTGTGGCCCCTGGCTCTTGAATGTCCTCCCCAGGAAGTATCACCTGGTACTGAACCTGAAGTCCATTCAGAACCAGCTGAAGACTTTACTTGCCCTGGTCTTCCAGTACATCCTCAAGACTGGTTTTAATAAGCAATTTTAATAGATTTTACTGGCTTTACTGCTTTGACCTGTTGCATTGTTCCTGTGATGTTAATTTTACTACCGTGTTTAATTTGTTAGCTGCTAGCCAATCTGGCATTCTTTATCTCTCCAGAGATTTTGGCCAGCTTGCTGTTGAGCTGCTGGATCAATCATATAAGCATGATGAGCAAGTAGCCATGAAACTTTTGACATATGAGCTGAAAAACTGGAGCAACTCTACTTGCCTGAAACTTGCAGTGGCAGCAAAGCACAGGGACTTCATCGCGCACACCTGCAGCCAGATGTTACTGACAGACATGTGGATGGGGAGGTTGCGCATGAGGAAAAATCCGGGCCTTAAGGTAGGCATGGACTGCTTAGGCCTGCAGGCACCTGGGCTTGCTATATAGGAGGGAGGGGGAAACTGTACATATATGGAGGAGAATAGTACTGAGGGCAGGAATAATACCTCCTCCAGAGCCACAGTCCTGCTCCAGTTCCCCCTCCCTTCAATACATGCTGGTTTAAACAAGTAGAACCAAGAGACAGGTGATGTGATCACTGATCTCCAATCAGACATCTCCAGGAATTTCTAGTTTGGCCCTGAGCTGCATCCTATGCAACTAAACCATAAATTTCAAATCATAAATGGCTCTTGCCTCTCATGCAGGTTATCATGGGGATCCTCATACCTCCTACCATCCTGTTCCTGGAGTTCCGTACCTCTGATGACTATTCCTACCAAACGTCAAAGGAAAATGAAGTCGGGAAAGAAAAAGAAGAAGAAAATGTGGTCAGTGGCAGCCCATCTCTATAAGCCTCTCAACACCACAAACATGTCTCACCTTTATTCCCTGTTTAATAGTCATCATGGTTTCCCCAATTGCCAAGAATGCTGAGAATTGTAACTCAGTCAGGGATGCTGAGGATTTTGTATTTGAGATTCTTGCTCTTCCTCAGAACTTCAGCAAGTTCCAAGGAAGGATATTGTCAATCTTTGTTTCTCTCTGTTTTCTTATTTTTCAACCTTAAATTCAGTGCTCCACGTTTCCCCAGCAATCTGCTGAGAAAATCTCATGAAAATCCATCAACATTCTAGTGTGAATTTCCTTTGATGAACAGATTTTTATGCAGTTTTGAACAATATACATTTTGCAAACATTTTCCCCTAACTTTTGAAATATTTATTTCACTAATAACTGCATTTCGATGTGCACTTTCCTCTACTGTTCACATTCATTGCTTTTGAACCACTGTTGTTGTTTTGGCAAACAGGCTTTGCAGGTTTTTGAAGCATGAACAACCTATTTGACCACAGACAAGTCTACATACCTTAAGTCAGCCTTTCTCAACCTGTGGGTCCCCAGATGTTGTTTTTTTTTTTTAATATTTTTATTGCCTTTTTCCAGATATATCAAACAACAAAAAAAGAAAAAAAAAAAGAAAAATACAAAAAGGAAAACAAGGACTTCCCCACGTCTCCCACCCCTGCTTTCTTAACAATAAAATGTCAGCAAATTAATATCTTGTTTCATGTGTTATTAATACTTTCCAGTAATTGTCTTTTAAGTTCAAAATACTTATTTTCAATTTACTTTTACTTTAATCTAAACACAATATTATTTTAAACTTTAGTCCTCTCATTATCTACCCTAATTTCCAATATAAAAAATCTTGATGCTGGAGCTTGGTTTTTCAATTTATGCAAATTATTGACAATCAAATAACTTATAATTTTTTGTAAATAGTCCTTAAATTTTTTCCAGTTCTCCTCCGTTGTTCTTCTCCCAAATCTCGGATTCTGCCAGTCATTTCGTCCAATTCCATATAGTCCATCAATTGCATATGCCATTCTTCCAGAGTGGGCAAATCTTGTGTCTTCCAGTGCTTTGCAATAAGTATTCTTGCTGCTGTTGTTGCATACATAAAAAAGGTTCTATCGTTCTTTAACACATTCTGGCCGACAATACCCAAAAGGAAGGCCTCTGGTTTCTTGGGAAAGGTATACTTAAATACCTTTTTTAACTCATTGTAAATCATTTCCCAGAAAGCCTTTACCCTTGGGCATGTCCACCAGAGGTGAAAGAATGTCCCTTCCGCCTCCTTACATTTCCAACATCTGTTGTCAGACAAATGGTATATTTTAGCAAGTTTAACTGGGGTCATGTACCACCTGTATATCATTTTCAAAATATTTTCTTTCAATGCACTACATGCCGTGAATTTCATACCGGTGGTCCATAACCTTTCCCAGTCATCAAACATGATGTTGTGCCCAATGTCTTGAGCCCATTTTATCATGGCGGATTTAACTGTCTCGTCCTGAGTGTTCCACTTAAGCAGCAAGTTGTACATTCTCGAAAGTACCTTTGTCTTTGGTTCTAGCAGTTCGTCTCTAATTTCGATTTTTCCACCTGGAATCCTATCTTTTTGTCCAATTTAAAATCTCTTGAATTTGAGCATAATGAAACCAGTTTTGCACCTTATGTTTTACTTTTTCATAGCTCTGTAACCTCCAATTGTCACCTATTTTTCTAGCATTTCCCAATATTTCAACCAACCGGTCTCCATATTGGGCTTTTTTCGGGCCTTGGCCTCCACTGGTGATAGCCACCTCGGGGTCTTACTTTCCAATAAGTCTTTGTATTTTATCCAGACCATAAATATTGCTTTTCTGACAATATGGTTTTTAAATGTTTTATGAATCTTACCTTGTCGTACACAAATATGGCATGCCACCCAAAAGCATTGTCAAACCCTTCTAGATCCAAGGAATATCAGTATTTTCTAAAAGCAGCCAATCTTTCAACCAGCAGAAGGCTGCAGCTTCATAGTATAGCCTTAAGTCTGGCAGGGCAAACCCCCCTCTTCTTTTGCATCAGTTAGTATTTTAAATTTTATTCGGGGCTTTTTGCCCTGCCAAACGAACTTCGAAATGTCCTTCTGCCACTTACCAAAACATTCAGGTCTGTCTACAATCTGAAGGGCTTGAAACAAAAACAACATCTTTGGCAATACATTCATTTTTACTGCTGCGATTCTACCCAACAAGGAAAGTTTCAATCTTGACCAAATTTCTAAATCTTTTTTAACTTCTAGCCAACTTTTTTCATAATTATCCTTAAACAAATTCAAATTTCTGGAAGACAAATTAATTCCCAGGTAATTTCACTTTTTTAACCACAGATAATTCTGTTTCCTTCCGAAATTCATCTGTTTCTAAAGGTGTCAAGTTTTTAACCAGTACCTTGGTTTTTTGCTTATTCAGCTTGAATCCCGCCACCCGACCAAACTCTTGGATCAATTCTAAAACTCTTTTTGTGCTAGATTCTGGCTCCTGTAATGTTAAAACCAAGTCATCTGCGAAAGCTTTCAATTTATATTGTTTCTCTCCGACCTGTATTCCTTTTATCAACCGGTCCTCCCTTATCATATTCAAAAACACCTCCAGGACTGAAATAAATAAAAGAGGGGATAGGGGACACCCCTGTCGTGTTCCTTTTTGAATTTTAAACTCCTCTGTCACCACATTGTTCACTATCAATTTAGCTTTTTGTTCTGAGTAAATTGCATCTATACCATTTTCGAACCCCTGTCCCACTCCCAACCCTTCCAAATTTTTCTTCATAAACTTCCAAGAAATATTATTCAAAGGCTTTTCTCCGCATCAATGAAAATTAACACTGCTTTTGTATTGATATTTGTTTGCAAGAGTTCCAAAATATCAACAATGTTCCTAATGTTATCAGACAAATGTCTGCCTGGGAGAAAGCCTGCCTGGTCCTTGTGAATTACTTCATTTAGCACTCTTTTAAACCTACTTGCCAAAATGTCTGCAAAGATTTTATAATCCACATTTAGAAGAGAGATGGGACGGTAGTTCTTTAGTTGAGTCTTTTCAGCTTCCAATTTGGAATCAATGTGATGAAGGCTTCTTTCCACGTTTCCGGTGTCTTCTTTCCCCTCCATAATCTGGTTACAAACCTCCATTAATGGCTGTATCAAGTAGTCTTTTAAAGTCTTATAATACTTGGAGGAAAGTCCATCTGGGCCTGGAGATTTACCAAGTTGCATATTCTGGATGGCACTCTCGATTTCCTGTTGTGTTATTTGGTGGTTTAAAATTGTCCTCTTTTCTTGAGATAGTTTTGGTAATCCCTTAACTTTTAGAAATTGTTCTATCTCAGTCATTTCCTGAGGCCCTTGCGTGTAAAGTCTTTTGAAGTATTTCTGGAAACACTTTCTTATTTCTTCCGGTTTCTGTATGTTTTTACCCTCCACCTCCAGATTGGTTACAAAGTTCAATTTTTGTCTCCTTTTCAACTGCCACGCTAGCAGTTTTCCACATTTATTAGCCGATTCAAAAGATCTTTGTTTCATTTGTTTGATTTTCCATTCCACTTCTTGATTTATTAATTTCGCATATTGTGCTTGGTAAAACTTAATTTCTCTGAGAATCTCCTTAGATTTTGGTTTTGATCTCAATTTTTCCTCTCCATCTCTTATCTTCTCTAATATCTTGTCCTTTTTTCCATTCCAGAGTTTTTTCTTAATCGTGTTCTGTTGTATCAGAAACCCTCTCATTACAGCTTTACTTGCGTCCCAGATTATTCTCTTTTCCACCGAGGTGTTCAAATTTATTTCAAAATAGTCCTTTAAAGCTTTTTGGGCCTTTTTAACAATCTCTTGGTCTCTTAGCAGAGTGTCATTCATTCTCCATCTGAAGGAACCGGCTGGAGTAAGTCTCAGTTCCACTTTCAAGGCGTTATGGTCGGAGCAAGTTTTGGCAGATTTCCACTTTCGTGGTCTTAGGTGCCAGTCCTCTAGATGTCCAAATTTGGTCTATTCTTGTCCATGACAAATGAACTTCGGAAAAGAATGTTCCTTCTTTACCTAGGGGGTTCTTTGTCCTCCAAATGTCAATCAAATCCATGTTGTCAGTCAGTTCAAAAAAGGTTTTAGGTAGTCTGCCATCTTTGGTTAAATTTTGATTTTGCGACTTATCCATGTGAGTAGAGACCACCCCATTCATGTCTCCCATCAAAAAGACGTTAGAATAGTCCAGGTAATCCAGCAGTGTCTCATGCAGCTTCTTGTAGAATTCTGATTTCCCTTCATTTGGAGCATAAATTCCCACTATTAGAAACTTTTCTCCTTGTGATTGTATTTCAATTGCCAAAATTCTTCCATGCTCATCTTTAAATAGCAATTTCGGTGACAGGTTCTCCTTTGCGTAGATCACAACGCCTCTTTTCTTAACTTTATCTGATGAGATAAATTCTTGACCTAATCTTTTGTTAATTAATACTTTTCTATGGAGCCTAGTCACATGAGTTTCCTGCAAACAGATAATGTCCAATTTTTCTTTTTTCAATATATGAAAGATCTTCCTTCTTTTTTCCGGGGAATTCCCGCCATTAATATTCCAACTTAGAAGTTGCAGAGACATCCCGGATCAAATTAGGAGTCCTCTTGGGGTGTGTCTTCTTCGTTCGAACCCGGTGGCAAATCAGGTGTTGGTTCGGGTAGAAGTGCTGGTCCGGCTCCTGCTACTCCCTTCCGAAGGTCCTCTCCGTAGTCGTTCAAGAATTTTAGTTGGTCTTCTGCAGATCTGATTTTAATTTTTTTCCCTTTGATAGTAAAAGATAGTCCTTGAGGGAACTCCCACCTGTAAGGGATTGTGTTGTTCCTCAGTAGTCCTGTTAAGTCCTTATATGTAGTTCTTAAGTCCAATAGTTGTTTCGGGATATCTCTGTAGATTTCTGCTTTTTTACCCTGAATCACCAATGGTTTTTTAAAATGTAGGCCGAGTATTTTGTCACTCTCTTGCCT